CAAGGGGACTTCGAAGCCTACATGGGTTAGTTGCAATTTTAACCCTCTCATGTTCCCTGATGCTTTTTATTACATCTCTAAATTTTTCCACTGAATTTTGGAATATCTTGTAATCTTAATCCATAGTTTCCGTTTCGTAGTCTAACATAGAACAGAACATATAAAGTTGACTACTCCGGTAATTTAACCTCCCGTCTAAGTTGACCTCGTCAAAAGAATAAATCTAGAATAAAAAAGGAGCAAAACTTCTGCATTTTTTCAAATGTCTATCTTATGTGTTGACAGGGGAAATAGATCAAATTTTTCGAATAATGTTCATGAATACTATACTCTCTTAAAATGAAAGAGTGATTTCCCCTACTCAAATTGAAATTGTTTTAACTCAACTTGAGTGAAATACACTCTTATTTGAGCGAAATTCTCGCTTTGCGTTTACTCAAACTTGAGTGGTATTTATTGAAGCAATATTTGAGTGCTTTCAGCTCAAACTCGAGTGATTTATTTATTATTTAATTGCGTGCGAGCTATAAGCTGGAATTTCTATCGTTTTATTTTAAAAAGCAAACGATAATAAATCTAAATGAAATTGCTATGTTCCGTAATCTAAATAGATTATGTCTTCGCTTTTATTTTACGTTTAATTTGTTTCTGGAGAATATTTCACTTAATATTTTGAATTAAGAAGAATTAAAACAACTTTTAGTTCACAGCGGTATTTCTGAAGAAGAGGCTGTTTTACTTTTTGGTAAGTAGATATACCTTGTTGTTTGTATTTTTAAAAAACTTTTATTAAGAATATGTTATATGCATATTCCATTGAAATTAGCTGTTTTTCAGCGTTTTTAAATAAAACACTATTCATTTAAATTATTTGTCAAAAAAAACTATTAAAATTGAAAGAGTAAAATGTGGATGATTATGGAATATTAAAAAATCTAATTCCATGCTAGAATCTTTGTCAAAGCATGTGGGAATATATATTATATCTGATAAGAGTTTTAGAATTTTTTCAGATCTCATATTAAAGTTTCAACATTTTATTTTAATATAATAAATTTATATCCATGTTTCAGTTTTTTTGATGTATAATTTCAGTGCAAAACATTTGTGGATAATTAATTTCATATCATTCTATACTTCTTTTATAAAATATATTTACGAAATAATTTACTGTTCACACAGTCTATAATTGCCGTTATTTAAATTGCTTTCCATTTATAAAATTGACTGTCTTTAATTTATGAAAGTTCACATTTGCAAGATCCATTCATTCAAATCTGTATCTTCAGATGTTCGATGCATTTTATTATAAATATATATCATTCAAAGAAAAAGTGGAAAATATTATATTCAAAAATATTAAATAGTATCATAATGTAACGGCTCTTCGGTGTATATATATGCATATACTAATTTCAATATTCATCTGTACTCGTAATTATTATAAAATTTGATATGAATTAATGCATGTAAGCTATTTTAACGCTATTTTTTACCACGTGCTAAATAACTCCATTTTGTTCTCTTTAACAGCAGTGAACCTATGTCTAGGAGGAGAGCAACATTACCCACGCCATACTGTCACCGATAGCCGTTCATAGGATTAGCCACATACAGCACACAACAGACAACAACGCATACAGAGAGGGAAACATCCATGCCCAGAGCGGGATTCGATCCCGCCGCCACTGGCTTCACAGTCAGGCACGCTGTTCGCTAACCCACCTGGCCAGTAAACTCCATTTATAGATTCCCTGTATTTTATATAATTTATTAAAATTAATTTTGTTCTTATATTCCAGTTCTCACTTAGTATTCAGATTCAGAATAAGTTCCCTTCAGAATGTGTAGTAAGATTTCCTGGTGTAAGCATATTTAATAGATTTTCCTATAAATGTGAAGGGGCAAAACTGTAAATGTGCCACTTCTCTAGGTTTTTAATAGTATAGTTATTTAGGTTATAGGTATAGTTTTTTAATAGTATACATAAGGGAAATATTTCGTGACCGAAGGATTACCACTACGGTTAAATCATATGATACATATGATTGAGACAGCAGAGACTCCTTTTTTTAAAATTTATTTCGATAACTGAAAACGGATTTACATTCAAGGAGAAACAAGAAAAAACCTGAATGTTGATGAAATTAACTTTGAAATTTGCAATATCATAAATGAATGATACTGCACATCATGATTGAAATATATTCACTTAAATGATGCTAGTTATGAATAAAAAATGATTGAAATTCACACAAATTCAAGTTAAAAGGACCCAATCAAGTAATACTTAAAACCACTCAAACACGAGTGAAAATCACTCAAGTTTGAGGGAAAACGATCCACTCAAGTAATACTGAAAATCGCTCAAACACGAGTTAAAATCACTCAAGTTTGAGTGAAAATGATCCACTCAAGTAATACTGAAAATCACTCAAACACGAGTGAAAATTACTCAAGTTTGATTAAAAAATTTTTCACTTGAGTGTTTTCCATATAACTCTTTCACTTGAGTGTTTTCCATATAACTCTTTCACTTGAGTGATTTTATCTGAAGAAGAGAAGGTCGCTTTTTTCTAGATGAAAGAGTTAAATAGCACTCAAGTAGAGTTATTTTCACTCGTTCATTTTAAGTAAGTACTTAATTCTATAGAATTTTCATAAAAAGAAACTTCTTCTAGGAATATTTTTATGCAATTAAGTTACATATTAAAATTTTCCCGAATTGGCGAATAGTATTTAAAACTAACCTGAATCCTATTGTGAGTTAATTGTGAAAATATTAAGAGGTTTTAAAGGCCAAGAAATTTATTTTGCAAGTAATAAATTTTAAACTGTTCGAATGAATAAAATATTAAGTGTTTTTAATCGTATAAGTTTTGATTGTATTTTAAAAAATTATTCATAATAAACAACATGATGCAAAAAATTGCATTTTTGTTTATTTATATTTTAACATACCAGTTCATTATTATATTCTTATAACAAATTGTAATTCCTCCTAGTAATTAATCGTAAAACAAAATAAATTAATAGGTTAACAAAATTTAATTATATTATTGATTGGTAATTTGAAAACAATAATAAACATAATGACTCAATAAATCCTGTCTAAGTTTACCATAAAAACAACACACCTGCAAGCAATTAACCTAGTCATATATCGCTTTATATGAAACAAATGTCATACATATTTCAATATTATACTACAGACAAATACTACTGGACTAGGTTGCCGTGTTTTAATATAAAATCTCCTGAGATTTCGACAAATTGTAAAAGTTTTGGATATTTTATAATCAAATAAATTGTATTCAATTATTTAAATTAAATTATTTAAAACTAATTATTAAGATCGTATTCAATTTTTGCTAGTTAACTTATTAATTTTATTGGCATATATTTTCACGAAAACTACAATGCTTGCAATTAAGTTTTTGGTCTTTGTCAAACTTTTGAATACGATCAAGCTCTTTTTAAGCGATATTTAATTTTTTATACATCAGAATATAAAATGCTTCATTGCTCTAAAATTCGAACCACTTTTAATTCCCAAATAATGAAAAATTAAAACATTAAGTTGCTGGAATTAACTATACATATTTTCGGATTTTCTCTTTATTATTTTGAACAGGAAAAAAAACTATCTGAACTTCTTAGCTAAAACATGTTCTTTTGTCATAAAAAATATCATAAAATACTTTTCACAGAAAGCATGCCACATCTAAAACACGAAAACGCGAGGATTTACATAGTTTTTATCTTGAATTGCGTAATCAGTTTGTCTAGTTGACGTATATTGTTGAGGGTTTATTAAGGAAATATTGGGGCATAAAATCGATAACTTAGGTAAGAAATATCCATAAAACAAGATTACCCGAATACAAATTTTATTGTTCTCCCATTGCATACAAATGAAGCTCTGCATTTAAATAATGCCACAAATCAGGAGTGAAAGAATTTCAGTCGACAGTACTGAAAGTAATTGATTTCGCTGTTATGTAGATTTTCTATTCAATTTATATACATTATTTTATAAGATTCTATGTAAAATTATAATTATCACGTGATACTATACAGCTGTATTGTTTTTTATCGGATGGAACCGGTTTGCATTTGTTTATGCTCCTCTATCAATTTTTTAACATTGTAATGCAATACGTTGAAAATAAATACAAATCGGAAGTATATAAGCATATAAAAAATCTGCTGAATAAAAACCAATTACATGTAGGGTAAGCCGACCAGTGAAGGAAAATTTCATATATATTGATTAAAAATAAGAATTTGAAGGTTTTTCATTAGATTGATTGCTCACAATAGCTTACTGCCAAACAATAGGAAGTAATCTAGCAATTTTTTGGAATACCTGGTCACATAAACTTCTCTGGAAAAAATTTCGAATTTTTTATTATCTCTGCAACATCTTGTTTCTTTGAAAAAATCAAAAGGTAGGTGTTTGTATTTATATGTTTGAAGTGAAATTAATTGCATGTAATAGTTTTATTTTTCTCACTGTGAAAAGAGAAATCTAAATATAGTTATTGAAGTTACGTTTTTTTTTATTTTTTTTTTTAAGCATCATAGCATAATCAAGTACTGAGATAAGGGGGTGTTTATTCACTGGATCACCAAACGATGAAAAACCAGTGAAGGAACAAGTGTTCCTTTTCTGGGTTTTTTCTAAGTTAATGAAAATGAAAGAAAAAGTTTAATTTTCTTGTACCTTTAGTGATGTTTTGCATCAAAAGTATGTTAAAAATACAAAAAACAACAGGCATGTTCCTTTACTGGGCACAGCTTTCCCAGTGAATGAACAGTATGTGTTAGCCAATTTCCGCCCTGCGTCATAGTTATAGGATAGTTCATTTTCACCATTATAAATAAAGCTATTCAACGTTTCGCCTTCTTTTTCTACCCCCTAAAGAGTAATGGTTTCACCCTACTTACTTAAACCGGTTTGGACCGGATGGAAGCATTTTTCAGCCAGCTGCAGACACGTAAACTTCGCCATTTTCATGATTTTTTTCTTGCTGAATATCATTGTAATCGTACGAAAAGGTTTTAAAGGTAAGTTTAAATATTTTTTTCAAATTTTATATTTCAGATATTCTATTAACAGATATCTTATAACGTTTTAAAATTATTTTTACTTTTATTAGTTTTAATTACAAATTTAAACTACTGTCCTAAAAATAGGACGCTGGGCGGATTCGTTAAATTTTCTGATATTTAGTTTATTTCATAGGTGCTCAAGATGTCGCTGAAAAAAGTTTTTAAAATTGCCGAAGAAGCGGTAGAATATCTATTTTCGGAAGAATTATAGTCCGAAATGATTGCTTTGCCACCTGAAGTAGATGAATTAACAGATGAAGAAGACACTAAAACTCTAGACCTATCTGTAAGAGACGTTGTAAATAGTATTGGAATTTCTGTACCTTATGAAAACTATGATGATCATAGAGAGAATGATTTATCAAACAAAAGTAAAAATCGAAGTTGCTCGGAATCAGGATCAAATACACGTAAGAAAGGTAAAAAAGAGTTAATAGCAGATTGGAAAAAAGTTCCGCCAAATTATAATTTTTCTGATAAAAGTAATGCCTTAAAAATAAACTATGAAAAAGCTGTAGGCACTTTAGAAGGTCTATCGCCCGTATAAGTTTTTGTAGAAATTTTGTCTCGGACATATTTGGAGCGCATTTTAATAGAAACAGAAAAATATGCTAAGCAATGAGAAAAAAAGCAAATTTTTCCTTAACAACTGAAGAATAAAAAACATGTCTCGATTTTTTGATTTTATCTGGATATCATACACTATCAAGTGAACGTGACTATTGGTCAGATGAAGATTTAATGGTTCCTATAGCAAAAAACAGATACTTAGAAATAAAATATGTGATTCATTTTGCTCATAATAATGAAACTAAGTACCGAACAAATGACAGAGATTTTAAAATTCGAAAATTAATCACAGAAATCAACGCAAATTTTCAGAAATGGGGAATTTTTGACAAGCATCTATCTATTGATGAAATGATAATTCGATATTACGGTCATCATTACTTCATGCGTTCATTAAAGGTAAACCCATAAGGTTTGGGTATAAGATATGGGCATTATGTGGGAACATTGGCTACTGCTATAATTTTGATTTGTATTGCGGCAAGGAAGTTGTCGATGCTGCTTCTACCGTGGTTCTTTCAAAAGAGCCCTTGGGAACTCGAGTTGTAAAAAAAAAAAGCTTCAACCAGTTACTGATCCCAATAGTCATATAGTTTACTTTGATAATTTTTTTAATTCCTTTAATTTGTTAGTTGACCTAAGAAAGAGTGGATTTCGAGCAACAGGAACAATAAGAATTGACAGAAAAGAGCATTGTCCCCTTGAAATTGATTCTACTTTCAAAAAGACTAGCCGCGGTTCACATGATTTCTACTTTGACGTGAAAAATAAAATTACTGCGGTAAAATGGAATGATAACAAATGCGTTACACTTGCGACAAATTTTGACATAATAGGGCCACTAACATCTGTTTCAAGGCGCGAGAAAGGAAAAGCTGAACAAAATAAAATCGAGCAGCCATGTCTCGTAAACAATTATAACAAAAACAGATTTAATCATGTAGAACAACAAAACAGAGCCAATCATGTAGATTCTCATGATTGGCTCTTAGAGAAACATACCATAAGAATCCGTGGAAAAAAATGGTATTGAAAAATGTTTACCCGAATTTTAGACATGGCTGGTGTAAATACCTGCACAACACAGTAAATGCAGAAAAAAAGAGTATCAAAGAAATAAGGAGACGTACTGCAATAGCCTATCTAAGAAAAGGCAACACTGGAAAAACCAAGTTACATAATTTCATCTCGAGTGAAGGTAATAGACACTGTTAGACGTTGGCCATAATATCGATAAAAAAGAAAAACGATGTCAAATGCATAATTGTTCGGAAAAATCATTTTGCATGAAATGGGATTCTTTCCAAATTACCATAAATAGTGTGAATAATGTTTAAACTTAATAAAAAATGTCAAATTTAAATGTGTTTAATTTTATTTTGCATTAAATATTAAAGTTCAATTGTTTGGGAACAGAAACGTAATCAAGTAACTAAAAACAAAGGAGAAGTACGAAGAGTTCAAAAACTTCCATATCCGCCCAGCGTCTTATTTATAGGACAGTAATTATCTCGGATCCTAAATTAATGATGCGGAGTTTAATTGCATATTATAATTAATTTAATTGCTTAGAACATAATTTTAAAAGTTTTTAACAAAATTTCAATTTTAATTTAAGTTAGGGGTTAACAGGTTAATATGTTGACACTTTACTTTTCAATTCATGATTACAAAAAAAAAGCTAACATTTTCCAAGTATTTGTAGGTTATAATTTCAAGAATAGACTTGTTTTGAGATATTTGTATGGCATATAAATTCATAAAGAGCATTAAAAAATAACCAAAATTAAGTGTTCCTTTACTGGGAAATTTTGTGTTCCTTCACTGGTAAGAACTGTTCCTTCACTTGGTCTTCTTACTACTTGCTATTTGAACCTCCAAAACTGTAAGACAATATTATGTAAGTTCTCTACAATTTTTTTGCATAATTTTCAGTTAGTAACAAATATGTTGACTCTGTCATTTAACTAAAATTACGAATTTTGAAATTATTAAGATATATAAAAAGGTAAGCGAAGCTTAAGTGGTTAGTTTACCCTACATATGTTTAAATATAAAAGTATTGCATATAAGCTCATGTAATTATTAAAAAACTACAGTGCATCTAATAATTTGATCCAATTATTATGATATACTAATATAATGCTTGATATAATTCTATATTTATATAATATGTCTTCTAATTTATCTTATCGTCAAATTTATATTGTATATTGTCAATTTAACCAACTGATACACTAACGCAAACAATTGCAAGCCGGTTTCAGTCACATGAATACAATAAAACTGTATAGTATCACCTGATAATTAAGATTTTACATAGAATCTTTAGACCTGGACCTGCTATGACTTCAGATTAAACTTTTTGGTGTCAGATTTTAAATAATTTTCATGCTCTCGAGTTTTAGTTGATAGCATAGGGTATAGAGTCTAAACAATAGTAACATGGCCTACAGCCTTTCCTGTTCGCCACGTTGCTAAAAAGTCAATACAAAAATTGACCAAGTCAAGAATAAGCAAAACCAAAAAACATCCTAATTCAAAAGGTATATGGTGATATTGGTTGCTGGCGAGTTAGAACACTTTTCATTATTTTTATATTGATTTATATTCTTTGTTTATATCATATATATATATATATATATATA